TAAGTATGGGTATTTGTCTTTTGAATTTACCAGTTAAAAATTCTTAATCACAATATTCAACCTTTGTTACTTGGTAATTTTGAATCTCTTCATTAAATTCCTGATAATTTTAAATAGAGAGCACTCAAACATCACCGTAATATGCTAGTTTTTCGAAACAATTTATTTCGTCAATGTTAATTTCAAATTGCAGGCGTTTCGATAGTTATCATTAGACCTTTAACTGACTTTGGGCTTCACAGAGAGGAGGAGGAACATCAAAGCGACAAGAAGTCGAGAGGGGTGACAGAATAATGATTCACAGACGTGAAAGAGACAGACAGACAGACAGGCACAAATGTAGAGAGTAGGATAAGGTGAGTACTGTGTAGGTGGTGGAGTATGAAATACAGTGGGGTCATGGTAGTTTGAAGTTAGACGTCAACTGCTGGTTAATAGACTTTAAGAGGCTATACATTTTTCAATTTTTTGGTCCTTTTGAAATTAAGTTTTAATCAGTGATGTTAGATTTAAATGACAATAATTTGACCTGACTCCCCCAATGACATGTACGGTTCTTGATGCGGTCCTTAAAGACTCTCAAAGTTCAAAACAAATGTGTTGATAGGCCTATGCTAGTAAGTGTTATTTCAATTACGTTGAAATCCCACCTCCTTGGACCACAAAACTATTATATCTAAGACTTTAAGGCATTATAATTCTATTTATAATAAAAGTGCATACTTTTATCAACTTCATCTTTTACTACTGTTCTTTTACCAAAACTTACTTTGAAAAAATATCTTTTGCAAAATGAATGCTGTTTTAGTAGAAATTACCTTCAAATGACTGATTATAAAATCATTAAAAGCACAACATCTTAACTAATAAGTGCTTAGCACTTGAGAAAAGTTGAAGATAATGGGGTGAAATTTATATTGCCGGTTAGCACTATTACATTACCGCAGCTTGTGGCGAACAACAACTTGTCAGGCCAATTAAATGGAGCTTCTGTCATTAACATTATTTTGGTTTCTAACCAACTAACTTTTAATTTCAATCTAAATGTTCTATTTTAAACTACGTCAAATTTGATTCGACTTACACTAACTCTTAAGCTCACATCAAAGGCAACGACAATATTTGTCAAATTATGTCAAAAAACCTGGGGTTTGTGATAGACTTACCTCCACGTGGTGCACCCTGGGCAACATATACTCATACGGCAAAAAGTCTATTACCTGGCAGTTGACTTCAAACCACCATGATCCCACTGTATGTCATATTCGACTACTTTCACCGTACTCATCCCACCTTTTTTCCACCTTATCTACCTTCGTCTTTGACACACTCTTCTGTTCCCCCCCCCACCCCTCTTGAATTTTTTACACTTTGATGTTTCTTCCCCTCTGTGAAGCCTGAAGTCAACTAAAGGGCTAATGATAACAATCAAAACGCCTGGCATTTGATATAATAATAATAATGTCAAAAAACCTGCGATTTCTGCAAACCTCTGACTGTGAAAAGCACCACTTTGACTTTAAGCTTGAGCATTTAGGACTTTTCCGGTCAGACGTTTATTTGAGACACCTGACTGATATTTTCTTTAGAAATTTACTCTCGAGTGCGAAAACCGGTAGTTGTCAACATTGCCATCTCACAAACCACTTCAAATCCATCCTACAGAGAAGGACAAGTAACTGAAATTGACCGATCTGTGGATTTACAGATCTGTTTGTGCAAGCTGTAAGCTGCAATTCGCAGTTAACATTATTTCATCTTTTATTGACGAAGAGAGTATTTGCTGATTACTCTCGCCCAGTCGATTGTAACCGATGCAAATGAAAAATGCAATTTTATATCATATGATAATTTCTTTCTAATCGTCGAACGGTATGAAGTTCTTTTCATGTACTTGAATTATATCGAACTAAGTCAAGGGATTAACTCTGTTTTGTTACTTTTTGCAGTTTTAGTTACTATTGGACTTTGTGGGACAAGTCATCACATGCCTGCACGCCATGATTGGGAGGTGCGACCGTACAAACAGTGACCAATCATTAACCTCTGCTTGTTTAACCTAATCCGCCATCCTGATCATGATTAAGCTTTCTGCGTGCACACTTTATCCGCAATATACGTCCTGAATAAACGTGCTCCGTGCTACACATCTGTTTCCTTTCATAGCTGGGCTATAGCTTAGCTGGTTCTGGGAGTCTAGCTAGATGTTGGAGGATCTGCCATAGAGATTTCTGAGTCAGTCAGGCTTTAATAAAGTAGCAATCCGCCACATCTTTGAATTTTCGGGAAGACTGTTGATGGGTGATGCATAAGAACTCTTGTTTACTTAATAAAGACCGACGTTTCAGATTTCATCCTTCCAGTCTGGATGAGAGCGGATTTAAGTTAAAGAATTCCTTCTTGGATCCCTGCTTCCATATTGTTCAGAGCTAATCGACTGAAAATTGCTTTGTAGTCAGGCCCGTACATCCAATTGTTAGATATTTCCGACTCCCAAATCGTTTTTCTAAAGAAAATTTACTGATTAGTTTTAAGTAGTAAGATCAATCTCGCGATTTGACAAGCCTTCACCAAATTTGTAGAACGAATTCTCAAATATTTTCTCGCAAACTTCAAATTTCATTACAAAGTGATAAACAAGTGCTGTATTGCGCAATAATATCCTAACAAAGGCTTCCAAAATTTCCATAAATTATGTTTTTAAGGACCAAGGTGGATCTCGTCGGAACTTAGGTTATAAGGCTTAAATATCTTATTTGTCATAAAATCCCAGTTGTCAAATGGAAAAATATCTTATCAGAAATGAATGAATTAGCGAAAACAACTAGCTTTACCCCTCAGTCAACAGGTTTAGTTATTTACCTCAAATTTGAGTGAGTGAGTCAACTGTTGGCTTTGAATTAATTTCCTATGTCCATTCGCACATNAAGGTGCAACTGCCAGGTCTTGAAATATTTCGCTGGGTCGTCAAGGGTTGAAATCAATTATTAGCCACTGAGTTACCCGATTTTCCCTAAGCTATTCTTCAGGTTGTACCTTCCAATTATAGAGAGGGCGAGAGGATACAAGGCATAGGTGAACAGACTACATTGGAAAGGTCCACCAAGCATAGCAAGGAGAGGTGTTTTATTTATATCAAATGGCAGGCGTTTTGCAGTTAGCATTCACAGAGGGCTTCATAGAGGGAAGGAACATCAAAATAAGAAAAATCCGTGGGGGGGGGGATAGAAGAGCGATTCACAGATGGAAAAGAGACAGTAATAAAGATAGATAAAAAGGTAAGGTGAGTACTGTGGAAGTAGTCGAACGCGCACTACAGTGGGATCATGGCAATTCGATGTCAGAAGTCAACTGCCAGTTAATGTACATTTTTGCCGTATGAGTATACGTTGCCCAGGGTGCACAACATGAGGGTAGGTCTGTCGCACACCCCGTAAGGAGAGATGTTACAGGTGGCGAATGACCCCTATTTGGGTATTTACAGGTATGTTCATATAGTTCGATGGAGGTATATTAGAAGCAGAGTTAAGACTCTTTGACCAAGTGCCACTCACTCACCCCCCCCCCCCCAAACGGGAGCT